TATAAATTAAAGAGGAGGATAAATAATACTTAATAATTATAAATTAAAGATTCGGGGTCAAACAATGTAAAATTATTTTGTATAAGAGAAAATAAAATTTGCATTATTTTGTATAAGAGAATATAAAATTTGGACCTTTAATATTGAAACACCTAAAATGTTATATTAGTATATGTAAAAGTATTCAAAATTTTTTATATTATTTTTGCAAGATGTGAAGTCACCTACAACTTTTTTAAACAATTTTAGAAGGAAAATATATCTAAAAACATTTGAATGTAACATTGTGTAAAAAAAAAATTTCTAGACTGTTTTGTAGAGAAAACATGTCTACAAATATTTAAATTTAACATCAATTATGTATATGTGTGTATATATATGTATATATAGACAAATATGTAAGAAAAAATGTCTAAACAATTTGTTTAAAATATCTAAAATATTATAAGACTAATTTAATAATGACATTCAGATGATACCGATTTATGGTGTTACTTTCATCTAACAAAATTTGATTACACACAATTTCAAAATTATTATTATACTTTTTACGTTGTTTTCGAGGATGTATTGTTGTGTTTATAATATTTGTAATTAGACCGATGAAAATTAGCAGCGTTCGTATTTTTTTTTTAAATAAGGGATGAGATTTTGAGTACGTAAAAGAAATACAAATATTTATTGTCACCGGCGGTTTTGAGTAAAAAAAATAAGAAAAAGAAAAACAAATATATACTGTCACCGGCGGGCAGTTTTGAGTACCAAAAAAATAGAAAAAAGAAAAACAGATATATACTGTCACCAGCGGTTTTTGAGTACCAAAAAAAGGAAAAATAAAAACAGATATATACACCACCGATTTTTTTGTCTATTCAAAATTGACCAATAATTACTATATATAAGATACATTTAATGATATTGACGGAAAAACTTGCTAAATTTGTAAAAAAGTTATTCTTTTTATATAATGATAGACGTCATTATGAATATCACTACTACAATACCGTGTATTATACGAGTGTTTGATAAAATAATTGAATGTACACCAAAAAATGAAAGAAAAAAATGTTTATGTATTTTGTTGAATTTGAAAATAATAAATAAAGAATATTATATAAGAATTTATAATAAATAACTAAGTGAATTGATAATGCTCTCCTGATCAAACGGCCTCGCCGTTTGCCAAACTCCTCCTTTCCTTCCTATGTAACCAAGTCCTCCCGTCATAAGTAGTCATTTTAGAAGCGAAGTGAAGAAGAGGTTATAACGTAGTTCAGTGTCCGAAGACCAGGTGAACTAGGTTTTTCAGTTCATGGTTCTTTCTATTTTAATTTTGAAAACTAACTTATATACATTATTGGTTTTATTTATAGTATTTTTATTTAAAACACATAAGAGAATAATATGAACAACACACAAAATATGAAAAGTAAGATAATATGCACAATGTAGAAAGAAGATAATAAATAGATTTATATAAGATAATTTAAATATATTAATTATGTGTATATATGACAATCCAAACCTAAGCTATTTGGTATTAAAATGTAGTAACTTTTATCTGAGCTATATTACAAAACATAATATTTTATCGCATAAAATTACAAAGCGTGCGAATCTGACAGTTAAGCTCAGTGAGTTCAAAATTATATATTAGAGGATATTAGGAGATGTTACACCCTTGTTTTATTTACTAGTACGAATTCTGTGCGATGCACGGGTAAGAGATATTCATTAATATTTATAAATTAAAAATTCTCATTAAATAATATATATAAATTAAAAATATGAAAACAATATGTAATACAATGTACCTATATTAATTTATTGAAAATATTGTATAAAATTTAAATTGTGTAAAATTACATAATATGTCTATTTTAAATTCCTACACAACTCGCGCGTTAAGTAAAAATAATCAGTCATAAAAATATTTAAATGGTTGGGATTTTTTATACCAAAAAAATCGACACTCATTATCATGCTAAAAAAAATAAACAGTGCATTACACACAAAAAATATTTGAAATGTAGTAACAGAAAATAAATTAAATCGAGACCCACTAATTATACAAAAAAAACAAATATTGATCAGAGCTTTTTCTATAAAAAAAAAGAACATTGATACACGTAATTATATCAAAATATCCGTTTATATTATTTTGTCGGAGTTACGGTAATTTTCTTATGTTAATTTCATATGAAAAAATTTAAACCCGCCTAAAAATCAATATATTGGTCTCCGCATTATAGAAAAATAACACCGTATATTGATTAATTTTTTAACAAATTTTCTACCAAAAAACAATCATCAAATAACCTAAATAGATTTTCTCATTTGTTACCATGTATTGATTAATTTTTTTCCTATAGAAACAACCATTAATACCAAAAATAAATTCGTCCACTTTATACCATACTAGTACATAGCCCGTGCGATGCACGGGGTGCACAATTTTAAGGCTATTTATCCAGGCTTATAATTATATACATGAATAAAGAAAAATGTACGGGATATATATAGTACGTGCGAAGCACGAGATATATTTATTTGGAGAATATTATATTATAAGATGCAATATTCAATAAAAATTTATAATACGCAAGAAATTGTATAATGTTCAATAAAAATTTTATAATATTCAAGTGGAGTCTTAAAGTCTCTTGTACATTAAGACTACTGACAAAATAATATTTTAATCAATGAGTTTCCTTTCCTTGTAGCCAAATTGTGAATGTGATTTGAGGAGTACAACAAATCGATATATAGCTGACTTGCTTTTCTCATTGTAGTTTTTTTTTATAATGAATTTAAAGATATTCTAAAATATTACAAAAATTAATTTTGTTATTACAATTAGGAATTTTACTAAATATAAACTCTCAATCTATGGTGTTAATCAACGCTTAAGTCTAAAAAATTAGGAATTTTTACCTCTTTTAATCAACGTTTAAGTCTAAAAAACAATAGAGTTATTATAAGTTTTTTTTCTATATTTTTTAAAACATTAAATATGAGAATGTTAGGGCTAGCTTGTAAAATAATTAATATATTATCTCACTAAAACATTTATACTAATAAAAATTTAATTTTAGCATATAAATTTATCCCTTGATATAAGAGAAAGTAACAGTTTTACTTAATGTTGTTCACCATATAATATTTAATTATTATTTTATTATATAATAAAAAAGGAATATTGTTAAATAGTTTAGTAGAATTGTTATAAAATTATATGAATTTTTTTTAACACAATATGGATTTAATATTTTTTTATGATTTGATAATATAAACAAATCTATACTTAACTTTGACAAATAAAACAAATAAATACTTTAGTAAGTATTTAATGTATATACTAAATAGGAATATATTTGGTATAATCAAATACCAAATATAATCAAATAAGTCAAAGTGTATATTTTTATTTGGTATTTAATTTTTTTATTATTAAAATATTTTTATTATACTTACTTTTTTAAAATAAAATAAGTAAATAAATTAATTAAATAAATAAAATATTATAATACCAAAATAGTAATGACATTTAATGCAGTTGACTTTTCTGGATAGTAAATGTAGTAAATAGAATATCCTTTTATATAATATAATACGAAAATAGTAATGCAATAAATGCTGTTGACTTTTCTGGCTACTTAATTTGGTAAATAGTACCCCCTTTAATATAAGTATAGATATTAATTAATTCACATGATTTGAGTAATTAAGGTATATTAAAATATGACTTAATTACTTCCTTAAATAATAAGCCGCAGTTTCCATAAATGATCATTTGATTATACCATAAATTGTTAGATTAATTTTCCGAAATAGTAAATAAATTTTTTTGGAGGAAAATAGTTACTATTTAAAAAATAATCAAACTTTTATATATATATATATAATTAAATATAGATATTATTATATTTTTATCAAATTGCAGATATGAAAAGGCCGCAATTATAGGCCGCTTTGTGGCACAGTGTTGATGAAGTTGGTAGACAAAATGATTTGTCCTCTGATCTTATAATTAAATAATAATATAACAAATCTATAACTTTCCTTGCTTAATGGATGAGATAACATGACATGAGGGTTTTATTTTATTAAGTAATTACGTGTTAGCTTGAGTCAGCTTGCCGTAATTTTATCCTTAAACCTGCTCTGTTCCATTTTCTTGACAAGTCAAGAGACATTTTAATTGGAGATCTATTATTGATCATTCTGGTGTTGAATACGATCATCTTGCTAGTCATTATTTGAGGAGAGTCAAATTTTACCTAATGTTAGAGGAAAAGAAAAAACTCTACCTACTTCTGTAAAGTATACCAAGAAACACCAAATGGATATCTATTCAATGGTATTTATGGAACATTTGATCATAATGGTTTTACGTATTTAAATAGATTAAAGGGGCAATTCGTTTAGGTTCACAAGGTCCAACGAATAATAATAGTAATTTATTATTATTATTATTATTATTATTATTATTATTATTATTATTATTATCAAGATTGGGTTGCTCAAAATGGAATATTTGGAGTTGATCTCTGAAATATCGGGCCTTAATTGCTGAAAATTTAGAAGCCAAGAACAGGGAATCCACTAAAAATATTAAAAGACAAGAATTCCTTCATTCTTCATATCAACATTAAGGCTGCTTATATTATATGACTGTCTAAGAAAATTATAACTTTTAATAGAGATGCATAGTATGACATAAAAATATTATCCTCTAAAATACAATATAAATAAAAATAGAAAATATCATACATTTTCAATTAAACAGGTATTGACTATTGACAGGTTGATCTGTATAACAACTAAGTAGTCTAAAATACAAACTAAACTTCATTGGTCGAAAGATACATTGCGATAATAAGACTACTTCGTAAAACAAATGAACTTTATTCCAAAGTTCTGAAATGTGATTACTATTACACGTAGCGTCGGTACAACCTAAGAACAGTCGCCGCCATCTATATATGTCTCCATTTAATTCATCCATACCATACTTCTCCTAATGAATAAAATTTAAAAACAATAATATTAATAATTAAAAAAAAAAAAAGCAAAATCCCA